TGGACAAACTTTCCTTGCCGGTAAGCAACTTTTCGTTCGCTTTACGTTTGCTCACTTTGTTGTTCACTTTATCGTTTCGAAATAACGACAGTTGCTATTAGAACAGACGAGTAATGCGGAACGGCCGCTACTTGACTGAAATAGAACGCGATCGGTATTCCGAAACGCAGAAGCGCCAGCAGAGTGACATATTCGTTGACGTCCCCAAGCGTCAATGCCATGCCACCTTGTGCTGTTATTGGCCTGTACACTGGCGTTGATTGTCTACACCTGGTCGTACAGTTGCTAGCCTCACAATCCACAGCAGCGTCATCGCCGGGCTTTGTTGCTTCATCAGTCGATCGGCTCGGATATATAGCACGTCGGTTAGATGGGTAGCGACAAATTTTGACGCGACTGTTGTGGCTGCATTTCACAATTTTTCGCTTCCCTGTTTTTGGCTGCGTTTCTCCTAAACGCCGCTCTCCCATTGGCAGCCCCAACATACGCGCTAACAGTAAAAAGAAGACAAACAAACGGAAGTAGAGAAATGAAGGCGACCCATTGCAACTTCGGCGCCTCGATCATTCATTGACCGCTAACGTCGCCGCTACAATGACAGCCATCATGACAATGACAATGACCGTACGCCGCCACCATTGCTGTCGAAAATTGATCAACCGCTGGATAAACGAGATCGTACATGACGCCAGTACAACAACTCAGTATTGAGTGTCTGTCGAGCGGAGCAGTAAATAAGTGCTGCTATTATTGTTGCTGGTCACGATGATTCTGTTGACGCAACAATTCGGCCAACTTTGTTACTGGCCTAACACGACGCTGTCCTGCTCAGGCAAATGCAGGCCTTCACTCGAAATTGCCCGGCCGCTGTATCGAGGATTGATCAAACTTCATTGCCTTAACGTCTTGTTATAACGTGATGACAAGCAACCATACGGTAATGCCAGCTATGTAATGGGAATCATGTGTATAATATTCATTTGGGTCTATCGATTCGCGCGATTTCGCAAATAATGATCGACTCATAATAATATAAATAAATATTTCAGCTGCATCTTGTGAAACGGGTCAAGTTCCCAACAAATTCTGGCTTCGACCAAAGATAACGTTGCCACAGACTGTGTTGGATGACGTTCATATAAAAATGTATTATAGAGATAATTCTTCATGTAAAACATATGTACATAAGATGTTTTTAATGATGGCGCTAGAAATGCTATTGATTTGTGTGAATTTCAAAAAGTTATTAGAGATGACATTACATATAGTTAATGCGACCAATCATCGCTAGCCGGATTGTTGAGACTTCCCCCTTCATTATTAATTAAACGTACTAGTAATTTTCGTTGGCGAGAAGATTAACGTAGTTCTCTGCTATTCTGCTAGCTTTTATGGCTAATTTTTGTTCACTCTTAACTGCAATATAAAATAGCTAATTTAAAATGCCTTTAAATAAAAATTATGACAGCTGTTATGATCAGTGATCATACTGCAGATTTTATGTTTTTTGGAGAGTTTAGCCTATGGTCATTATTATCATTATTAACCGTTATTGTTATTGGTGTTGTTGTTAGTGATTCAACTTAGCTATAAATGAAGTCATGACGCTGGTGTTATACGTTTGTTAGATTATTTTGTTCTATTTAAAGTTGTGACGTTACTACGTTGACCTTCGTGCCCTATTTTGCCACAGGAACAGGAGTGGGCCCACAGCAACGATATCCTATAAAACAACAACAATAACTATAATATGTCGGCTACATCGACCATTATCGACTACTGCTCCTTAGCATAGTTGATCAAATCATCGTTTCGCACAAAATAGCTCTCAAAGCTTGCGTTCAGCCATCGTATAGCTAATGAGTAGTAGCGATGCAAGGAACAGAAAAGTACATTTAAAAAAATCTTTAAAGAGGAAGAAAATACAAAGGCGACGCAAAAACAGACAGAGCGACCTAGACAAAGCCAAAAGAATAACCGTCGTGGCCGTAATCGCCCGTGTGCGTGTGCGCGCGCCGAGGATATGCTCGTGCCCATGTGTGTACAGAAGGGCATTAGCATAACTTCATTCTATCCTGAACCTTCCATCTGGGTCAGCTGTTGTTAGTATTGTGCTGTATGGTTCCAGAGTCAAGGATGAGAAACTTGACAATTTTCATATTCTACCGCGCTTCATCGTAGTGCTTGACCTCGAAAAGTCTCTTACGATTTTTTCCCGTGAGGTACACGATCGACGTGAAGATCGAAGTTATCATCTATAACCGCATCTTTTTAATTGTTGCGTTGCTCATTCCGTACGCACCTGACGGTGCTTGCTTAGTATCTATTCTATATACTGACATATTGTCTATATTAACAGGCGTCTATATTAATAAGCTCATGAAAGAAAAATGGCATGCAGCATCAAACACACTCATAATATGCCTTCTTCCTCAATTTAGCTTCCCCTATGGCGCGTCTTTGGCGGGAAAATTTAAAAGTTGAACCACACAACGGGATCTTCTCACAGACGATCTCTCCCTCCTCTCCAGGACAAAAGTAAGCAAACACTTTCAGCTTGCTTGTAGTATCTGCCTGTTGTGATGGCCACTGTAACCGTAGCAGTCTGCTCGGTTCGCTAACTGCCAACGAACAGACTGTCATCAGCCAGGTTAACGGCAGTGGCTTCAGTCAGCTCTGCCTAAATGTCGTTATTTTCGCTGCTTAGAAACTTAGTTAATATTATTTTTGTTATTATTTAGGTGATCCATCAAAGTAATGTGATTTTCCACGCCGCGCGGAAGCGAATCTAATAACATACATCTGACCCTTTCTGAAAAAAAAAAGCAAAATAACCGTATACGCAGGCAAACCACAACAACACCCTTGGTAGGAGCTACGGCAGGGGGTCAGCTCAACGCCCATCTGCCCAAAAGCATGTCGTTCACTACGGTGGCGACCCCTATCATTATTGGATCGGTTGCTTGCCTGCCTGCCCACTAGCTGCGGCCATCTCGTGCTGATACAAACGCGTCCGTTCTCTCAGATCGAATATACTGCAACATATATACACGTAAAAGGCAATCGTGTGGACGAATGAGCATATGCTAGTGTATGATGCGAGCATGGAAGTAGAAAAAGTGCCGAAGTTCAGCAGTGGCTACTATTAGAGAGTGGTTTGACGTCGAGTATGGTTGCGGTAAGGTGAAAGGCTGAACGAAAATAGGCGCTCCGATTGCCTCCTTTTTTATGCAAATCAATAGAATAGGAAACGAGGGAGGTGGAATCGGGTCACGGCTAGCACAGAGACATTGAAAGCGAAATAAAGAAGAAACAAATTTTTAACAAAAGTCGTAAACAAACCACGGTCAGCACATTGTTCGAGATCTTTATTGTCGATAATAGCTGAATAAACGTGGTGACTTGACATGTACATATATGTAGAGGAATAAATTTCTGATGGCTGATGTTCGGCTCGGCGGCTGTTGGGGAACGAGTCGAAGGGCAGAACACTCTCGTTTTAGTAATCTATTTTCCTTATCTGGAAAAGCGAGAGGAAGTAATTGAGAAGAAATGCTTGTTCCAATGGTAGCTAGTTATGACGAAGCTCAACACGGGCGTCTAGCACGATACTGACGTAATATTAGAGGCATTGTAAATGCAGCTAGAAATCAAACGCAGTCACTCTCCGATGTGTGTCGGCCATTTAGTTGAAGAAATGAATTGGTCGTGCATAAAAGATGAGCTAAAGTTAATTTTACGTACGACAGTACTCTGCAGCAAGACGGGTTATAAACGGCAAACCGCGTGATGGATCACTGAAATATCTAAGCTCAATGTTCATCATGGCACCATATCATAGTTGAGCTGTTATGCCGGGCCAAAAAGTCTGATTGTTTATAGAAGTCAGTCGGTGAAACTAATAAGCTTTGTTCGAATGAAACGTAAGTGACTATGATTGCGTTCTTTGTTAAGTATCGTTTCAAAACAGGTCGAGCGGTCTGCCCTTGTCCACGGCGAGCCACTTGCCAACCGATAATGAATTCATTGATAGTAGAGGCCGCCATGATTCAGCTACGACGCGCATTATTGATTCCGTCATTTTGCAAGACTGATTCTCGAGCTAATGCAATCGTTGTCAATAGATAGTCAGCAGCAGCTATTACCCTATCGTACCGCTATCCTTCTGTAATGTCCTCCGGTATATACGAACGTTGTATATAGATTCACGCCATAGTTTGTCTGGAAAATTCCCATTTCATTTTCGCTGATTAACATCGCGCCCATCAGACTGAATCACCTTCATTTTTTCATTGAGTTACTTTTCATAAGATTTGCTCTACAATGACCAATTTCCCCCAATTATTGATGAAGCGTACCGCGCATACGACGCTCAAAAGTGGCGAGACCGGTGAATCATCGAGACTGCCTGACACCCATGTCGCGATTGATGAATGCGTCTTCCACTGTGTCAATGTCGAGCTTCACTTATGTCTCGACTCGGAGTGAACGTCAACTATTAGTTAAAACACCCTCATTAGTTCATAGGAGAGTAGTCGCGAGTATTATTTTCGACCCACATAGTTAGCCTGAACGTACGTGTGCCTAACGTCCATTTTATAAGGACTAATTAAAAAAATAAGAAGAAATCAAGATGATCACTGGAAGGAAGTATCTATTACAATTAGAAAAGTTAGGACGTATAACTAAGCTGATGCATATACACCCCATTATTAATATCATTTGATTAATGTCGGCGGACGCATCTGAATGGAGACGCGTAGTAGCATCGCCAAGAACATAACTGTTTCCTGTAAATAAAAGATTTTCAAGGTCGACAGGCCTTTGAGAGACAACCCGCGCATCTATTAGTATCTTCAACGCTCACAGTGAAAGACAAAAACACTTGCTGTATCCTTTAAACTACATATAGTTAATCTATGTCTGATAAAAGAACGAGAATCATACGAATAGGACAACGGCATTGACAAGTAATCAAAGGTTTATCGTGGCTCCCAAAGTCAACTCTTATAGACCGATTGTTCATAGTACTAGAACTATAGAACCCCACAGATACCCTATTGCTCGAGTTTATAATTATTGATTGTTAAACGAACCTGAACGCACTTTCGTCATGCATCAGTCGACCGAAATCGTTACAATGAGCAGGTTTCGTTTAATACTACTACTGTCCATTCATCGCCGTGAAGCAAAGCAGTACCGTTATATTATGACACATTGCTCATGTGCAATGAGCGCGTCACGTGAAGACACCACCGATTGTCTGTGTCTGCTTCGTGACGTATGTTTACACTTTCAGCTGTCTGGTCAACGATTTTTTTGGCGCTAGTTGGATGTCCATAGGGTAAACTTCTACGTACATGTTCAAGGCCGTCAATCTGTCGTCTGCTACTGCTGCTGCTGCTGCTGCTGTTGTTGTTGTTGCGTTTCACAAGCGGATCGCATCGTCGTGAGTCAAGTATTTTTCCTGACTGAACTCGGCCTGGAGTATCTCGTAGATTCAAGGCTCTACAATCTTTTGTGCTTCATTACTATTTCATTCTTTACATTACACTCATTACTATACTCGATCTCTTCGCCGAGTCGCGTCGTATTACATTGCATTTTAGTCTGTCATCTCACGCTCGATGGACAGCTTTATCTGTTTTTTTCTTTCTTTTTCCCGAATGACGAACTCGATCACCTCTAAGAATGTAACTGATGAAGATGGTTCAGCTAGTTGCGTGTGCCATTTTCAGTAATCAAACTAAAAGGAGATCGACTCAAAAACTATTACCGAAAAAAAAAAGGAAACCATTGATTTTTCTCTCTTACACATTCAGCTTATGACTGATCTGGGCTCGATTCGATAGCATCGTTTTGAAAACGGACGTCATTCATTATTTATACTATAAACCGTATGCCCATAGTTATGATTAATGTCGTCGATATTGTGAACCCACGAAGCAATTGATGTCTCTCGTTAATACCCATAAATTTTAGTTCGTTGGACTCCCAACCGCCGTGATTCCTTTTCGGCCAAAAGTTGTGCGGAAGTCGAATTTAAATGTGCGCAACAATTAATAAATCGGCTCTTAACAATTACACCTGTAAATTTTACTTCCAGACGCACGAAACCCGTCGAAGTTCATATATCATATCCCTACGCGTGCAAAAAAGTCCGAGTACTTCAGACCAAGATTCGTCATCAGCTGCATGGCATGAGATTCTAGAAAAATTAATACCCTGACGGGTGAAGGTAAGTATCTGAGCTGGTTAAACTACTGATTTTCTGTGAGAAGTTCGAATACATTGAAGGTCATTATTTCATGGTCGCTACAAACAAGTTTAGACACGCCTTCAGTCGTCTCGTCCTTTAAGTGCGAATTCACATAATTTGACAGGATAATTAACGGAACAAAATGTATTGCATCGATTGGATCACACGAATATGTTAGCTTAGCTGGGTTTGGATTCCTCCTTTGAGGCGTCACCTCACCCCAGCTTCAACATTTCGCGTTACAAAATCATAACGCATTTGTATCTGCATTTTTTAAATTAATTATGCTTGCCTGGGTTGTCAGTTCATCATTGGCATGTTTATGCTTGCGCTTAGCCCATACAAAAATCTTCATTTGTATCTGACTGCCTCGTTAAATATGACTTCACTGCCCCGTCTAATCATATAAAGATGGCCATCGCTAGTGGAGCTTTTGGAGCAGTTAGGGATACTCTACTTGAATTGGTTGTAAATAAAATTTCTATAATTGTCTTCGCCATGAATAAAAATTGAATAACTAGTAATATTTGGTTCGTTGTTATCGGTACCTTGCCGTTGTTTCAATGCTGAGTACTGCCGGGACTGGAAATAACACGTAGAGGCTGTCTGTTCGCCATTGTCAAGTTGAGCGTCATAGTTCCCTCTGCTGCTCGAAATTCGTCTTCAGTGAAGCGCTGACGATCTTTTTCGATTTCTGGCTGGTGGTCAATGGTCTACCCTCTTCCACATCCATGATCAAAAAAGGAAAACGTTGGTACGCGTGTTTTTCACGCATTGATTACACAGACAGGCTGGTTCGCCGGTTGGCTGACTGGGATAACAACTATCTTTTGGTCGTTATTTTGTTAATAGCTAGCTCACGTGAGAACAATAATAGCCAGCTATGGAAGGCCAGACCGGCTGCAACAATAGTCACAAACGGTCTGACTGTTTCACTGACCGTCGAATCATTGCTTTCTCAAGGTAACGTTGCTTTACAGAAAACTAAAACGCTTAGGAATAAATAGCAAAACTCGAGGTGCAAACAAGTGCGGAAGTCTCATAGAAGTGTTTAGATATGGGGCCTTTTTCTTATAAAGTTTAATAATAGTAAAAAAAAAAATGAGAAAACGGAAAAGAATAAAGGGATATATATTGCTTATGTTCCTACGAAAATAAGTTGCAATAACGTTATCGTCACACATAGTGAAGTGCGGCTAGCATCTACAGGTACTCTTGGTGGTATATTTTTTGGCTATGCTTATTAAAAATCACCATGCATAATTCTCACCACATACAAACATGCACCATCATGTTTCTGTGACTGTGTTGTATGCCTTCTACATAAAATGAACTATTAAACAAGTGTGAGTAACAAACTTAATATATATATATGTCTACATATATTTGCGAAGCATATCCCCAATATAGTAGCTGTGATACAGTCACAGCAGAGTAATTTGAAAAAACAATGAAATCTACTACTATCTGGTTAGCGCCTTTCGGGCCCTTTTAATACGGTGCTAATTTCGGATTAGAATTTCTATTGCGGTCGATTTATCGAAATGTCGAGATCGAGGGTGTCATAAAGTTTCCTTTATATAGATCCTATTCATCGTAAGAAGTAATCGTGTGAATCCCGCTAGAGCGTCAATGTTTACTGTACTATCAAATAAATGCCAAGCTATTCTGAACTGAAAATGTTTATTTTATAACTATTCTTATACTGGGATAAATCTTACAACAGCCAAGCTCATAGTTGCAGACAGATGGCAAATGCCGTCCTGTGCCCTACAAAATGGCAGTGAATAGCATACTCCGTGTTTCACTTCAACGATCTGATGCTAATTTACCAAAATCAACTGTCTTTGCAAATCTGACGACTGCTATGGTAACGCAACAAAGAATACTTGCCAATATTCGTTTTTTATGTGGCAGCTATATATATATATATATATATATATATATATATATATATATATATATAGCTGTTATTACTTAGTAAATATAAAACTTAGAAAATATAAGAATCAGACAGTGAAATTGGAAAGACGCAAAGCACTTCTAACAGCAGAAAATCCAGCGGTGCCATAATGAAGAAAGAAGTGAACAGTCAATAAGGAAGTGTGCACTTACCTGCTGTTGTTGTCGTTGACTGTGGCCGTCTTCAACCCCAGCTCTACAATGGTATCTATTTATATTTATTTTCTCGGTGCCAGCTTTTTTTTTTCATACATTTACCTTATGCGCCTCACGATCGTCTCGTAAGTCATTTGAGCTCATGAAGTCAATGGATTTTTTATAGGTCTCGATCAAATCTCATATGCCTTTAGAAATAAAACGTATTCTTTAGATACTGAATACAGACAATTTATGTGGCACCTTTTATATCGCCACTTTATGCGGGGATCCAACATATTTGTTGATTTTACTACGACGATTAGGCAGGAAAACATATTTTTCGCTCGTGTACTTTGGTTGTTCAATGCGAACGTCAAGGGTATCGTAACACAATAACACCGGCTTGCTGATTTAGATAACCGTATGGTATCGGTTCGTTATGGTGTATTCTAAATTGTAATCATTAAGTTGCTATTTTCGGATTCGAATCACCGACATCCGGGCTTTAACGTCTAGCGACCGTCCCCTAACTGGCTGGGCCATGACCACTGAGTAATCGTCGTTTTTTTTTGTCTAATTATTATCATCCAATAAGTTATCCATAAACTTACTTGTTTCTTTGTCTACTGGATTTCTTTCGTATGAAGTGAAAGACGGACCGATATTATTCTATTGGGTTTTCTTACGACAAGGCAGATAGAAGAGTTCGGCATGCAGGGTCTGTGTAGATTCTTACTTACTACTCTAGCTTAAGGACTACTAGCACAAATCGGTTCCTATGTCTAGCATAAACATAGGGAAAATACATTTCCTATAGAACATCCTTGTCTGCGTTCTGCAGAAAATTCACGCATGGATACTTGTGGAAAATGTCGCATTATGATCGTTTTTGTTCCAGACAAAATCGATTTTATTCGCCCATTAAACCGCTTTCGAGATGTGTTTTGTGTGCTAAATGCACAGCGGTCGTCGCAGCGACAACAAATTCGGTAACTATTCGAGCTAGAGTCTACCTTTGAAATTTCAGCAAAGTGATATCCTAATTTATGACCAACGTAGACCATATATGCTTTGCTACACTATATGCCTTTTACTTTGGCCTAATGAATGCAAGCAAACAGCCCTTCGTATCTATCTGAACGTTTGAAAGTAGAGGTAAGTAAAATGTCTTACGGTGTTTCATGGAAATGCGTTTTTCGAAAAAAAATTACACCAACACCTACCATAGACTGCAAAAAGATCTGGTTGTTCAGGAAAAATCAACGTTCTCGACTATTCTGTGTTACACCTAGCTGGTAATGTTCAGATAAGATATAATCATTCCCAAAAGTTCTAATTTTAAGTGTGCATGAATATATGTTTTAGGAGAATCTATCGTTTGAAGGCTAATCTAAGCATCAAAACACCTTCACTAGCCAGCAGTCGCTTACAATTTATACGCCCCCACATAAACGTTTAACATCAAGGAAGTACCCCTGAAGATTTTACGGTTTAAGTGATTACACCTATTATATATAACATTATCTCAGTTCGTGAGAGAAGAGATGCGCATTACAAGTCGTTTTTAAATTAATTTTTTTAAAATTTCAAACGTATAACAAATCTGCGAATTGTGGGTTAAGTATTACATGTATGCGATGTATGTGCCAATGGTCTCTCTTTATGATACGTCTTTTTCACAGACATAAACGTACTAGTATCAGTTTTTACGTGTTTCTCATCTTTACCCTAGAGTACTTTTTCCATAGTACTTGAAGAATAATCTCATACTTTTGCGAGGAAGTTTAAAATTTGTTCGAATTTCTAAAACTTCCGTTTAAAATGAGCCAATAACACATCGTAACTAGCGTGCGTACTAAGCCAAAAGGCAACCTACTACCTACCGAGGAAGTCAATTCTTAAAAGGATTACAACAGAGCTCAGTAGGAATAGTGCGAGTAAAGGTTCAAAAAGATCAGTTTCAGTCAGGCTAAATACATACGAATCGAGTTTATTAAGTAGTGAAGGGACGATAGGCAAATGCTGCTACTATGGGATTACTGCACAATGGGTTCATATGTTTTATATCAATCAGTTTACCTATATCTCTAAGTTTATCTAAAACAGATGCAAATTTTTTTGCCATTAATGGACCTGAGATAGTACCCAGATGTAAACAAGACCTTGGAGTCACTCCATTTTAGGTATAGCACCAGGGACTTACTCCTGTTGACAACCTAACCAGGATAAACCTTACTGGACTTATCCGGGGTTTGTCCAACAACACAGCATGGCAACGACACAAACACAACCTACATTAACCTTAATGGTCATTTCTTATTTTGCCTTAATTTTTCTAGTTATCTATTTCTGATAGTCAACACTAAGTGTTAACTGGCGGAACTGCATGCTTGTGGTTGGTGATTACCATGGCAACGTACTCTAGGAAACGAGTATTAACTATTCAGGGTACGCCGCCTGAATACAGCTCCGTCAGCAAGAGAACTAGGGAGTTAGTAACGCTCAATTAGACGACAGCCTTTACAATAAATATATTCAAAGGGCGACATATTTTTTAAACATGATCTTTGCTTATTTCAATGATAAAACAAATATTAATCTGTTGATTCTATCTTTTTTACATGGTCTTAAACTGAGTCCGCTAGGATGAAAGGTGGCCAGTGATAATTTCGCCACTAAATCTTGTTTCTCTTGGTGTAGATAACCACCAAAGAGAACAAGAACTCCTGAAAAGGGCCTTTTGTGTTGGTGTTGTGGCAGAGAATGTGATCCTTTTTTCGGGGCTGCAAACTACGCGATGAGAACTCCGCGTTCGCAAGTATTGCGGCATAGCGCGCCTAATGAGACGTGGAACCCGTAGGTGAAATTTACCTATAGACACCTAGCACCTTTCCTGCCAATCCACAGTGTTATCAAATAAAGTTTTCAAGTGAAGTTTAAGGCAAAGGGTGCGTTAGTCAGTGTTTGTTTCGGCGAAAGCAGGTCCGGCCGCTAATTCACTTCTTAAGAAGGATGAAATCATTAACTAGAAGGAACAGAGTAAAGTATTTTCTCACCTTTAGATAGAGCTTATTAAATCATGTATTGTTACATACTTGGCTTACAGGCTACTATTACTTCAAGCACTAATAAATATATATATATTCTAAGAATTTCAATGCCTAGAGGCTAAGGTAAATTTCCTTTTCTGATGAGTGAAGGGCGTAGAGCCTTTTTTGCATGTATTACCATTTTTTGGTTCAAGCATTTTGTCGGTGGACAGAGACTTTGTGCTAATGTATTATGGCAGCTTTTTGTAGGAAAACTTGTGGACGGGTTAGCGATCCCTTTATGAGATGTACGTTATTATTCTATGGCCATCGTGCCTCGACTTCCAGGCTTAAAGTGGTGTGCCTGGTTAAAGTATTTTACTCAGTTTTTATATGATGGGTAACAAGCTTTCTGTTTTTATCGGTTGTCACCACGTGTCATAACTTTGAAATTTGCTTAGCAAACTGGATAGATGTAC